TTTAAAAAAAACTTAAACATAAATTTACATTAACAAAACACACACATAAATGTGTCATTATAGATTATCTACAAAGTGGATAATACACTCATGGATTATTCAGAGCTGACTATAAATAGTTTAACCCAATCAGGATACTTGATCCTACCAGAAGGCAATAAATCACTCACTTCTTAGAGGCTTAGTATTATTTTCAAACTAGTGTCAGACCACTTAATACATGGAAGGCAGTCATTTCTACTTCCTAGGTTTTTAATCGCAGTTTTAATTGAAGTTTGAGCTGTCTACATTAGGTCATAGGCCTAGTATGCTATTTTTCCATTTTTACCAAATAAGAAGAAATATAGTTTATGATTTAGGATAAAGTGATTACTTTAATTTTCCATTCATAATATGTGAATGGGAAGAGTGAAATCATATATGGAAGCAGATCTTCCACTGAAAATTAAGAAAGTCACATCATTATTAAAGACAGAAAATTATGCAGCAGCCTTTGAGGAATTCCCAGTGATACATAAAGACATAAAAAGCGGTCAACTTTTTAGATAGTTTTACAGAAAGCAGTTTCAATTTAATATGCATTTTGCCTACAAATAAATATTCCACTGGGGTTCTTATATGTATTGGGGATCTTTTCAATCACACTATGCCAGCTGATCTCCAACACTTATTATGTTTCACATTGTTGGTCTTACATAAGACCAACATAAGACCTTGATTAAGTTTTTGGCCTATAGGTGCTATTTATTAAATTAGAGATACAACCTACTAAATTAGTAAGTTATTACAGTGGAGGCACTCTTGTCTTCTGAATGCATAAGTACATTGCTTAAATTATTCTCAGGGAATGCTTTACACAGGAAGAGGTTCTGGTGTTTAAAATAGCTTTGTGTATTTCTTATCTCTGGAAATAGTCCTGGACCAGGTCCTGAAGTGGTATCAGAGCAATTGTTTCTTCAAATTATTCATACTATTTTGGGGTTCGTAATAGACTATCCTAGAATCATGAATTAAACAAAATGTTAAAAATGTAACATTTTGAACCAAAAATTTTCATAAGAAACAGAGACATCTCAACTGAGAAAGTATACTCATGATCTTGAAAAGGCTTAGTAAACTTTCATTTGTGAGGGTTTTTTTTTTTTCCTTAAAAGAGTTATAATAAGGTGAACAGAGAAAACATTTCAAGATCAAGGGGAAAAATTAGTATTTAGCTGCTGTTGCAAAAAGAGGTCACTCCCCTCCCACCTTATTTTACGTGTTAAAAGGTGGAATTGAGGGCAATGACTCCTGGCTTCTAATCTCCAGCCACTCTTTTTCTTGTCCTTAGGGTGTTTGTGTCAAATTTGTTTGCTGCTTACTTATGTGTGACACACATCTTAATCCCAAATTTGAGTACTATAAAGTTACAAAGAGCCCCGACCTGTGTGGCTCAGTTGGTTGGGCACTGTCCTGCAAAGTGAAATGTTGCCAGTTCAGTTTCCAGTCAGGGCGTGTGCCCTATGGGTTTGGAGAGGCGCTCACTTATGCCCATGTTTCTACCCCTCTTCCTCCTTCCTTTCCCCTCTCTCCAAAAGTAAATAGATAAAATCTTTTAAAAATCCTTCAAAAAGAAAAAAAATGACAGAGAAACACTTTAGGTGAAACTTCTCCCCTCCGGCAGCAGGAACCCTGTCGTTCTTTTATTCTTAGAGCCCAACTCTGTGCCTGGCGCATGGAATAGACGAAACATAGTTTTGGTGAGTGAATACACGGGTGAAGTACACAGAAAAAGCGTACCATTAACTATTCTGAACTAGTATTTGCAAGATATCTGGTTAATATCTGTCCCATTATCTTTTTTCCCCATGCATCCTCTTCCTTTTCTCTCCAAATTCATACTGCAAAGCATGAGCAATAGTTATTTTTTACTGATTTGATTATTTGAGTTCATACATCCATAATTCACCACAACAAATAGATAGAATTCTAACAAAAAACAAACTGTTGCTTCTTTATACCATAACTACTCTGCAAATGAGTTATTTTGTGCTAGAAACATCCAAACTGGCCTCAGCTTCCGAAGTAAACAGGACAATTGCAAATAAAAGGGCTGCAGCCAAAACGATGGTGCTAGGACAGTGGTGAAGGCAGTGGTAATGGTCAGGAGTTATGGTATGTCTCACACATTGCCCTCTTTTATTCTTCATCAAGCATTTTATTTGATAGGAATATGTAAATTGCTCCCCCCCCAGCTCCTCAAAGCTAACCCTATGGTACTTCATCTGTGCTAAGTCCTATAGTACAAATTTTAGTAAGATAATTTTTTTAATAAACAGGAGGTTTTATCCCTCATCACTTCAATTTTTTTTGCTACTTAATATGGAAGATGTTTGTCTTAAAATTTATTTGAAAATATTATCTACAATCACATTGTCAGGTATCAAAAGATTGTTTCACATTTGTACCTCAAAGTGCAAACATCTACAGATACACTGGACACAAAATTCACCTGCTGTTATTCCCGTTTGATTGCTTTTCATCAATAGCTGGCTTGTTAGAGTGTTATAAATAATAAATCAAGAGACTGGCATAAATTTCCTTGCCCAAAAGTTGAATCAAGAGTATTTAGGACTGCGTTTTTTTTCCTTTTCTCCCCCTCTGGTGTTTTCTGTTCTGAAGAGGTCAAGTAAGGGCGTTGGTAAAAGGGCTCTGTGCGCCATCTACTGACAGAATCCATATTTCCAGAGGGTCGGGATAATAAGAATGACACCTACATTCGTTTTTTAAAGTATTCTTTTAGAAAGGATGGGTAAAGAGAAAATACTCTCTCTGACTCTATGACATATTGGTGACACTTGGAATAAATCTGGATTCAGCAAACACATAATTCAACGAGGAGGCATCAGCTCCTTAGTGCGAGTACAAGTTACAAGGTGAAGTTCCAAGAGAGCCCGTTTGGCATTGGAAGAAGTTCACCAAACCTTGAAGTCAACTTAAACAATGAATAGGATGGTTGTTTTTTACCTGTGTGGTCAGCTACACTGGCTGCCTAATGGTTGCTGCCTTATAGGAAATGGCTTCACTAATGGCACATCCAAGTAACCATCAGTTTCCAGTCTTATTATTGCTCAGGACTTCTCTTCTATTTGATTATTTTATCAAGAATTTAATAATGCATAGCAAGCAGGTCCACCCTTCACCTAAATCCTAACACACAGCTTGTCTACCTGTATACACATTTAGTGCTTATGTACACAGACACCCCTACAGGTACACCTACAAGATGATATGCATCTATGTACATGTAGGTCAGTTAAGAAATCTAAGCCCTTGGACTTGAATTAAAATGTCTCTTCTCTCTGCTCGGTGCTAAATTCAATACAGAGATGGGAGAAATTGGAGTCCTCAAGCCAGAAAAGTTTTCTTGGTTGCAAATGGAGGGAAGACCAGAGTATCAGTTTTATAAGTACAAACTGTTGGAGTTAGAGGGTTGGATTAGAAAATAAAGTTGACCCAAAGTGGTCGGTTCTGATGTGTGGGGTTTCTTTCTTTTCTTTTCTTTTCTTTTCTTTTTTTTTTTTTTTGAGCAGCTGGGAGAACTGAAAATTAACAATGAAGACTTGGAATGTCCCAGGTAAACCTTCCCCTTACAACACTCTCTTTAATCCAAGGGCCAAGTCAACTTGCTTTGGAGGTTTTAAGAAAGAAAAATGGAAATAAAGTGAGAAAGTTGAGCCGGAAAGAGGAAGAGAAGCAAGTAAAGACGGTAGGCTGGGAGAAAAGGATGAAGCCAAAGGAAAGATTCAGAATGAAATTGGGAAGAAAGAGAAAAGGGGGAGAAAAGAAAGAAGGTAAAGAAAGCAAAAAAGCAATGAGGGTTAGGAAGAAGCAAGGATCTTTATTTAACTAGCGAACCAAAGTTACACCCATCTTTCACTTTCAAATCAATCGTCTAGATCTTATCCGTTTCCTTTGTAAAGGTCGTCTGCGTTGTTAAAGGAAGCTAGTCCGTATCCCTCACCCCGCCCCACCCAGGGCTGCGCTGTTCCATCCCCGGCCACCGAGACCAAACAACCCGAGTGGGAACGTTGCAGGCGCGCGACTGTGGGAACACTCTAGCGACTGGTTGTCACTCGGGGAATCTAACTGGATTAATAGCCAGAGATGGGATTACGTTGGCTGTCACCAATACGCCTAAAGATTATAATCCAATTTATGCACATTACAGTCAGTATTAACTTTATCTGATATATTAAGACTCCAGGTTGCCCCTCGTGTCCTCAGAGGTCAGTCCTCCACACTCTGATGCAGCCCGGCAGGCTGTCAGGAAGGGGAACATCCCGAAGAAAACAACTCCAAGCCCGGTCCCCGAGGGTCTGCACCCGGCACTCCCAGGTATTTCGCCTTCACCTGGGCACTGCTTTGTGCCGTCTCCCAGCCGTGGACTACCAAAGCGGGAGGAGTTCCCTCGAGAGAAAATAGCACTTTTTGTTTTTCTCTTGTTCATTTCATTTTTGTATTTTCGGTGGCAGTGGCAGCGGCCGAAAGGCGGGGGGTACTGGGGCAAATGCCTGTGAGTGGATGGGGAAGGGAGCCCGGGGATTGTTGCCGGTTATAACAGTCTTAAGCGACTGCTTTTTGATGCTTATTTGTAGGCTGGTATTTCTCTTGCTCAATCTTTAAATAAGTTTGTTTGGGTGTGAGTTCTTGCCTTGTCAGCACAAAACCACAAAAAGACGTGGTGGAAAGTAAAAGAAAGCCCCCTCCCTCCCCCCAAGCGCGCTTACTAACGCCTAAGACTTGATTTAATACCCCTTCTCCGGCTGCTGGGGGCTCTAAGCAGTGGCTACATTCCAGCAGCTTTAATCCGTTTTTTATTGTAGGGCGAAGGGAGTTTACTCAGGGGCTGGGATGGCTCCCCAGCTGGCTACTCTACCCACTCCAACGCCCCCTCCCCGCCCCGTCCTTCACACCACCCTCTCCGCCCCACCCCACCCCACCCCACCCCCAGCAGGAACCTGTTACTTTAAGCGAGACGTTCCAGTGTGGCACGGCCGGCGGCTGGGGTTTCGGGAGGTGGCCGGTGATTGGCTCTTTCGAGCTCCCCGTGGCTCGCTCGCTCGGCCTCCCCGCGCGCTCCGCCCCGCCCGCGCGCCCTCCCTCCGCCCAGTGAGGCAGAGAGCCCGGGTGTCAGGCGCCACAGCGCATGCTCCGGAATCTCATCCTCTGGCCCCGGAGCTGCTGCTGCTGCTGCTGCTTTTGCTTTTGGGGCTGAGTTTAATAACCAGCGAGCGAGCAAGCGAACGCGGGGGAAAAAGGCAGAGAATGTCCGCCATCTACCCTCCGTTCCTGGGCGCACTCTCATTCATAGCAGCCTCTTCATGAATTACAGCTGAGGGGGGCGGGGAGGGGGGTACCTCACAACACCCCAGCAAACCTCCGGGCCCCCAGGCATGGCTAGCTCGGTAAGTACATGCAAACATAATAATAAAAGATCCCCCCCCCCCCCCCCGCCTTTCCTCCTTCACCCTGTGCCGCCACCGCAGCCTAGACAGCGCCAGCGCTCCGCGGTTTCAATTAGAAAAAGGTTGGTACGGTTTGCAGGGAGCTGCTGCCTCTCCCTCAGCCTCCGTTCCCCTCCCTCCACAGCCCCCCAGGCGCGCGCACACACACTCTCACACACTCACACACACTCGCCCCTCCACCCCCCGCGCCTCCCTCCCTTCTCGCCTCTTTGCAATTGCAAGAAGCGCACTCTCGCTCACACGCGCGCACTCACACACTCACACGGTGGAAGGAGGCGAATAATAACTCAGCCATATTTCAGCCGCAGCCGCCGCCGGGAGCCGCGGGCACAGTCCGGGGACGCGGTGAGCAGTCTCGGCGGCCGCTACGATGGTGCGTTCTCTTCGGCGCGCGTGTGTGAGCCGGAGTGAGCGGGCTGACAGCAGCGGGGCCGCACACAACTTTGCCCCCGCGTCGGGCTGCGCGCAGTAGAGGCTTGGTGGCTGTCCGCCTGCCTCCCTGCCTTTCTGAATTTCATTTTTTGGGGGTGGGTGGGAGGGTACTTTGGGGCCACTTTGGCTCTTGGAAGTGTGTTGCGGTGGCTCCGTTAGGCTGGCTTCGCCGATCGCTTGGGGCTTTTCGCTGGGTGGGGGGGGGGGCGGTGCGGGGTGCCTTAAGTTATGGATGCCTCGGTGTGTTTTCCTGCGGGCGTGTGTTTGTCTGTGACGACGTCTAATTTTTGTTGTGCACGAACCCCGTGGTAAGAGCACGGGAGTTTGTGCCCATCAGTAGAGGCTGCCTGTAGTTTCCATTCAGCCTGGCACAGCGCTCCACACGCACGCACACACACGTACACAAAGACTTCCTCGGCGTGTGCCTGTCGCCGCGGCACTTTCGGGGAGGGGGCTCGCCCGAACCCCCCTTGGAGTCCCAGCTACCTTTCTTCCCACGCTGGGAAACTGCCCCGGCATCGTCTCCTAATTTGTTTCCGTTGTATTTGTTGTCGTGCTCGTAGTGACTGAGCGTGTTCTTCCTCTTTCCCCTACCCTGGGACCCCCTTCCTAATTGGGGGTAACATTCCGTTACAATACAGACGGGTGTGGATGCCGGGCCCGTGGCACCAGGGGCCAGGGCGGCCCGTGGGGGTATTTGGGGGTGTGGGCTATGCGCGCCCACGCGCGTGAAACGTGGATGCGGAGGGCACCGCCGTTTCCTTTTATGTGCGTTTCAAGAAGGAAAAAAAATGTCAGGCGCAATGTGCAATGTCGAACGGTCGCCTTCCTGTTGTTCAAGGCTGTCTCTCCTGCTGTCCGCAGTGTGCCGTGCAGGTGAAGCTGGAGCTGGGGCACCGCGCCCAGGTGAGGAAAAAACCCACGGTGGAGGGCTTCACCCACGACTGGATGGTGTTCGTGCGCGGTCCGGAGCACAGTAACATACAGCACTTTGTGGAGAAAGTCGTCTTCCACTTGCACGAAAGCTTTCCTAGGCCAAAAAGAGGTAGGGTTTGAATACAAAAGGAGCTTGATAAAAAATGTCTTGACTGGCGTAGGAAACAATCGCTTGGTCCGGCGGTCCCCTGTCCCTCTCCCCCCCCCCCCCCCCCCCCCGTGTCGCTTTCACCGGCTGAGCCTGGGGATCCGGGTGCACGGTGCCGCGCCATCCAGGTCTCAGCCCCTGCCCGGGCTCGCGACTTTGGCTTCGTGAAAGTCACCGTAGAGAAAGAACCGTCAGGTGTCGAGTGTTTATTCATCCCAAGCCAGCCCTCACCGGTCTTCTGGGGTTAGCCGCGGGTTCTGTGGGGAAGGTGCAATTAGTTGTTGGGTTTGGAGGTGTGGAGAGTGGGACTGGAGGGAATAAACAGCTGAGCCTTTTTTGTTTTTCTAGAGAAACCGAGACTTACCTGTGTTATCCTCAGAGAATGCATGAGATGTAATTACTATTCCGTCTGGAGAAGTCGCCTCTTTTCGGGGGTATTCTCTGCCTTCCTCTCTGTACATGAAACATTGAGCACCAGTTGTCACAGACTTTTCCTTTTGTAGATTAGCCACCCCCAGCCTACACGGTCAGGATTTTATGTTTAGTTAGGAGACTTACTCGTCCCTGGGCCCGAATGGCACTTGATTACTCGTTTGATTTTGAACATCCTTCCAAAATGTCTGTTCGATGTGATCTGCAGAGAAGAAGGTCCCTGCAAAGGTCGAGTCTAAGTTTCCGAGGGCCAATGTTGTCTTGCCCTGTGCTTCAGTCCTTCCCTACTTTGGTTGTTAGCCTTAGCGTCTACTTTGCATAGTCCTGCTGAGTCTTTGGTCTCAAAACATTTTCCATAAAGGATAGGGCAATTTTGAAGAAAAGAAACCGGGTGTTACTTTGAAAGAAATTGAGAGAGTGTTTGAGAAATCCTGATTTCTATTCCCTATAGCCTCTGGAAAGCTACTGTCTGCTTGTTTTAGTTGGATTAGTGGAGGTAACAATATAAATACAATAAGGTGCTTTGTTTGTGAGCAGGTTTATTTATCTAAGTCGACACAATGGTTAGTAGTTCTCTTCCATTTGATCAGTAATCTTTATTGGCATCTAGAACTCCTGCAGTTTCTTAGGGTAACATCGTAATACATCCGTTCTGCTTAGAGCTACAGGGAAATTATTGAACGTTCAGGGGTGGAATAAAGAGAAATGTGGTGTGCCTTAGAGGTGGCAGAGACTTGTGTTATGCTTATTTTTGTTTCTACAGTTCACATAATGGTATGTAGGATTGTATGTTTTGCCTTTAGTGGTTTGTTTTATACCTCGTGTTGACATCTTGAACAGTTGAATTTGATGGGCTTTGCTAGATGGTAAATAAATGAACCCAGCTTCTAAATGAGGGGTAGGAATATGCATGGCCTATAGGAAATAACATTTAGATTTTGTTAGCATTCTCTATAAAAATATAGCCAGGGATGTTATATTCATATTTCCTCAAAATTGTGGTAAGGATGAGTATTGTCAAGTTTCTGTCACTACATGAGGTTGGTATGAGGCTTCTTGGAATCTCATTCTCCCCTTTCCATGTGCCTGTAGAGCTACTGCAGAGGAGTTCAAACAAAAGAAACCACCTTCTAAGATCCTTGGTACACAGTATTATGACTCCTTGGCTACTATTTACTTTGAGGTGAAATACACTTTAAAAAGGCCATATTTATTGAATTAGGAAACTGAAGTTAGTTGGCAGAAGATGCAGCTCTTAAGATAACTTTGTTTAGGTGCCTTAATAATCAAATTGGCATTGTATAATCAACCTCCCCATATTTCACCATTATTCTCTGCTTCAGTGGGTGTGTGTGGTGATGTTCCCCTTTATTTCCCATACCTGATGATTTTCTGTCCGGCCTGAGGGAATGTGAAGGTGCTGCCCACACTGCCCACACCTGGGTGGTGTTGCTGGGTGTGGTAAGCCACTCAATAATACTGTGTCTTCCCAGCTGTCTCCAGCGGGATGTCAGCTTGTCCGTTGAGCTCTTCAATGTTAATTCTCAGCTGTGGCGTTTCTTTATGTAGTCTATAAGCCATTGTTTTAAAATGTTTATTTTTGGATTTTTATTTGTATGTGTGCTTCCCATGAAGTGACAAGTCCTGGGAAAAATGCCAGCTAACATAGCCCAGGAGAGACCTTGTCATACTGTAATTACACATGATTCAGATTGCAAGAGAAGGTTTCTCTGTTATTGGGAATAGTTGTAAATTCACTTAACACCAAACATGCCACTTAATCTTGGTACTTATTTTGTGGCCTATAATGTCTTTCAAACTGAGAACAGTAGGTACAGAATAAGAATGCTAGGCATTTCTAAGTCTACATCTATACTTTTTAAGGTGCTGTATTTGTAATATTATAGATCTATAAATGTGAGGGTTGGAAATGGGAGAAACTGCAAAAATGGCTTTGTGAAAAATCTGGGTAAATTTTTAAAAGGAATGCACATACTCTGAACTCTAAATGGCTACTAATAACAAGTTAAATCACTTTCACTATATGTGGTAGCAGATAAACAGAAATGTACCTTATAATTGAAGATGAACTCCTCAGCCACGAAGATGGATGAATCCTTAGTTTCATATAAGTCTTTGGTTTGAAAAAGTGAATTAATTTACAGGTTGATTTCCTTTATTTCACAGCAATATTATGAGAACTTGTAGAGGAAGAAATTATAGTATTATCAACTTGTTGCCTAGTGAGAATTGCATACAGCATTTCAAGATTGAGCTAATTGGACTTGAATTAATGAGGTTTTACTCTGTTCCAAAGATGTATTGGAGACTTTCAATTTAAAACTACTAATACAAAATCCTAAAAAAAAAGAGATTTTGATGAAATGGTGAAGCCTGGAATATCCATTAGCTGTTACAGAATAGGCAGGTCAGAGTGTAATGCATTTTAAAACTATCTACTTGAAAAAAAAGACCATATCTTATTTATTAGTACAAAAGATTTATAATAGTCTGATATGACTGAAATGAATAGTCACATTGAAAACATTTCATTTAAAATATTAATGTTTTCATTTTCAGTATGATGTGAGTTTGAATGAACTTTCTTTTCAATTACAGCCATCCTCACTATTACAATCTGTTCCACTGACATTTATGATATGAAATCTGTTGCTTATTATTTTATGTAAGCTAATTTGGCCACTGCTATGATTTGATAGCTTTTTATTTGTAGCTTTAGTCCTTTGAGTGGGCAGATAAAGCATAATAAATCCACATTTATAACTTTCCTTTGATTTAAGTGTTTGAGCCCAGCTTTACTGTGTAGTTCTGATTTGTGTTAGTCTTCTGAAATAATTTGAATAACTTTTTATCAGAGTATCTAAAAATTGAGGGTTTGCTAGTTGCAGATATTCTGTGCACCTGGTGTATTTTTCTTCTAAGGTATTTAAAAGGTGTAAGGAAAAAAATGAAGATGGAAGACTCTGCTGATACTTTTAGTGAGTGTTATAAGATTAGTATAGAGTTCCGTATGGAATTAAGATGACCAGTGAGAACAGTTTTATGGCTTGGCATTTTGAAGCAACATACAGTATGATTTTCTAAGGTAGCTAAAAACTAAGTTGCTGGAGGAAATCTCATATGCTGTTAGTGAGAATGTAAATTGGGCACAGACATTTGGAGGGCGTTTAGCAAAATCTAGTAAGATTTTAAATGTCCATGCCCTTTGACCCAAAATTTTACTTCTAGGAATTTTTTTTTAACAGAAATGGCTTCACTACTACACAAAGGCACACCATATTTCTTGTGATTGTTTTTTAATAGCAAGCCATATACAGGACCTCAGTTGGGTAGGAGTAATCTGAAAAAAGAGGGTAAATCTATTTGTAGATACAAGAAGATGTTCAAGATATATTATGTGAAATAAGGAAAGTTGCTAAATCAGTGTGCTCCATTTAAAAATGTACCCAAACAGATAAAAAGTATATATGTATATGTATATGTATTAAAAATCCTGGGTGAAAAGGGTTAAACTCTTACCAATAATTTTCTTGAGGGGGCTTATGGTGCTGATGGTGATGGGGTTATTTTTGTAGTGCTTGATTTTTTTAAAAGTTAATTCTATATATTTAAAGCACTCCATTGAGTACTCATTACTTTTTAAGACTGAAAGGCAAAGAGTAAAGACCCAGTATAAGAACATTGACTTTTAAAAAAGGGATTAACATGTAGCTAGGGAAAAGTGATCTTTAACTATCTTGGGTAAATATTGTTGCTCAGTGGTAAGGAGGAGTTTAACATTAGGAATTACGGACTTGCATTCAACTGATGATGTAAGAGACACTTGGTGTAGTCTTGAGGAGTCATGTCTCTGTTTTTTTCTCATTTGTGTTCTTATTTGTGTTAAAGGAATGATGATAGAATAGAACAAGTTCCTCGAAAGTTAAGGATTAAATATGAATCTGCTGTTCTCAAATGTATTGGTCTTCAGACTCCTTTACACTTAAAAGTTGAGAACTCCAAGGAGCTTTTTCTGTGCAAGTTTTATTTATTAATATTTTTGTACTATATATTAAACCTGAGACATCTTAAACAAATTCTAAAACAAAAAGTAGCTTGAAAAGAGTGGTATTGTTTTACTCTTTTGTGTACAAGTCTTTTTAATGTTTTTTTTTACTAGAAGACAACTGGATCCTCTTATGTGCTTCTGTGTTCAGCCTGTTGTGTTATCACATTATTCATTTTAGCTTCTGGAAAACTCTGCTGTACACTAAAGAGGGAATGAGAGTGAAGAAAAGGCAAATAATGTCTTAGAGTTGTTATGAAAATAATTTTAACTTTGCTAATACCTGGAAAAGGTCTTGGGGACCCTGAAGTCCCCAGAGTACACACTTGAAGAACCTCTCCTTATAAAATACTCAGCATTCGACCTGGCACAGATAAACTGCCCTATTAATGTGTGGAAGCTGCTTTTTAAAAATCGTTATTATTATTGCTGATAAAATACTCATTTAATAGAAAGAGAAAAG